TATGATTTCATTTTTGTTTTTGTACAAACAGCATAGATGAGACGATCGGTGGTGGTGGTGGTTGTCGGTGCATTCATTGATTTATACAAGTTTTTGGTTTTTTGGCATAATTTTTACAAGGTTAGCAGTGAATTATTTTAATTTGGTTTGATTTGATATTTTTTGTTTTGTTTTGTTGTTGTTTATGAAGGTTATGCGTTTATAGAAAATAGAAGAAAAAATATATATACTCATTTAATTAAAGTCCATTTATGTACAAATTATTATTTTTTTTTATATATACATATACAATGCTGCCTAAACAGATTTATATTTAAATTTGCGATATGAGCAGTTGCATTGATTGCAAAAAAAAAATATATATATACTAGTATATGCCATTAATTCAGGTAAATGCTGACTGTTTGGATTTTTGTGAAATTTTACATGTAGGCGTACATTGTACTTTTTCCTACTTTTTCTTTACAAAATAATTAAGTGCAAATGGGTATGGATTTTTTTGACACCTCATTTTTTACAAAAGTCATTTACACAAACAAATGTACATTGTAAAATTTTACAAAATTTTTATTATAGCGCTTTCATAAATTACAGCTCGTTTGGTGCATTTGCTTTTTTGTTAAATGTAAATTTTACAATTTCGCTGCCACAGTTCAAGGTTTTTTATGAAATTTATACGCAAAAGTTTTAGTTGTTTTCACTCACCTGATACGATTGATTCTCAGCGCCCTGCTGCGATGGCGTCAACGGCCGTCGCGGCTGTGTGCCCTGTTGCGGTATCAGATTGCTCGGGTACATGCCCCATTGCACACCATAATACTGTGGCATTTGTGCAGCTATCAGCCCCATATAGGGTGCTGCATCCTGACCCGGATTGATGACATAGGGTGCTGCTTGTTGCGCTGCATAGGCGGCATTTTGTTGTGCGGCCAGAAATTGCTGCGAGGCGGCCATTTGTGCCATCTGTTGTGGCTGCATTGTGCCATTCGGTGCACCAGGTTGCGCAGCCGATGTGGCAGCTGCCGCAGCAGCAGCGGCGGCTGCAGCATTTGTGGCAGCGAGTCCGGGATTTTGTGAGCGGAAAAGTTGCTGAAAGATGGGAGAAAAAAGAGAAAAATTGTTAGTAGGTATTTCTAAGGAATTTTCATTTATTTTGAATTTATATTGGTTTTTGTAATTATGTTGTAAGCACTGATATACTTAAATTTTTTAACATTATGAATTTATGTTTTTGATGACTTTTCAATTAAATTTGATTTCTCCTTTTTATTTTCAGTCTTCCAGAAAAAGACTGTACTCTTTAACTTCTTAATTTTTATTTCAGCAAAGGGAAGGAAAAGTTGTATTTTGCAATGCAATTCAAAAGAAATAGAATTTTGAATTAGTTAAATTTTCAAAGCAAGCATTTGGTAAAAAATTGTAAGCGCATATGTTACGTTATAACGTAGATTTAAAGCTATAACTTTTGACCAAGGCTTACAAAAATTTCTTTAAAACAAATATTTTAGGACTTTCTAATAGTTGTAAGCAACTTTTTTATTGCATAATATAGTTGCCAGCAAGTAATATGAAAAAATTGCTTATAAATTTTAAGTCGGTTTAAGCATAGAAAAAATACCAAATAAAATTTATTGAAATAAATGCCGCATTTATTTTAAAGTTTTTAAGCCAACGCCTGGCAAGAGTTGTAAGCGCTTATACTATTAAGCTATAACGTAGATTTTAAGCTATGATTTCTTACGCAGGATTAAAAAATTTCTTTAAAAACATTGTATGACTTTTTAAAATTTGTAAACAACCTTTGGTCATTTAGAACAGTCGACAATACACTTTAAGCCGCTTGTAACATATGTAGATAATATAATTGGATTTTTTTTCAATCAGTGCAGTAGAAGTTATTACACTAGATATGCTATCTTCGAATTTTTTCATGTATGTAAGCGTCTGTTAAAAATTGTAAGCGCTTATAATATGTGAAAACATATATTTTAAGCTATAATTTGCTATATAGGCTTACAAAAAATTTCTTAAAAAAATATGTTACGGCCTTGTTAAAAGTTGTAAGCAACGTTTGAATTGCATCAGCCGGGCACCAGTTGACAATACGAAGAGAGCGCTAACAAATTTTGACTCACTTTTAACATAGATTTTTGTATTTAAACCGTGAAATAAAAGTTAATAAATTTTCGCCGTCACATCAATGCCATGTACATGTAATTGAAAAAGGCCGCAGAATATTTAATTTCACCACAACGAAGTCCAAGCGTACGTAAAATAATAAAATAAAGAGTACAACTGAATACATACATAAACGAAGACACGCATCAGTGCGTTCGTAACGTAATCATGCAATTTTTACAACTACCATATGCATTTATGCATGAGCAAATTTAGCAAACCGCCCCAATTTCTACCCCAACACCAACAACTGACTTTCAAAGATATCGTTGCAAATGTGAAATAATATAAAATGAAATATGCAGCATGGAACTTGCAATGAAACGCGGAAAAAATTACTGTGAATTATTGATAACGATTACAAAACAGAAAACAAGAGCGAAATATAAAAATCGAAAAAATACAAGCAAGCAATGTAAGGAATCCCCGCCACAAACATAAAAAATCCGCACAACAAATACAGCTATGTATGTATATGTCTGTGAATGAGCGCACGCAAACGACAATAGTCGACACTCGAGTCAACAACGCTGTAAGCAACATATTTGCAGGCGCACGCACACACGTGGCATCATATAATGGCAGTTGAATGGCGCTTATGTTGGTGTTGGTGCTGTAATCACTTGGGTGGAATTATTCAAATGGAATAGAGCATAAAATAACAATCAAAACCAAAAGTGAAATTGAGCGCGGAAACCGATTCAACTGGAGCGTATGCACGTAGTAGTTAGTATATTAAAAAGAAAGCGAAAGTAACAGGGAAGCACTTCAGAAAATTATATAATTTTACGCCTTGAAGTATACTTGCGGACGCGCGTGAATACATATAATAACCATAATAATTTATTAACAAAAGGCAATGTGAAACGATAAAATGCAACAAAACAAAACAAATTGCGATTGTGTAATTTCGGGTTAGTTGCGTGCTTGAGCAAGGCAAGTGCTTAGGGATGTATGTAATTAAGAAATGCTTGTGGGACGACATAGTGTAGAGTCCGACGTTAAGTCAACTCAGCATTTTCATATTAAAAAATTTGTGTAACTAAGCACTCGTCTAAATAATTCATAATTATTTCAAAACAACGCGTGTATCAAACTCAGTTTTATCCCTTCAATTAATTTTTTTTTTTACAAAAAAAACTTGTAAGCACTTGAAAGAAATTGTAAGCATTGACTAGAAATCGTTGTAAACAAGTTCAGACGCTATAAATTAGGCACGCTTACAAAATATTTTATAAGTTTTTTCACTTTCTTAAAAAAAACTGTATTTACCGTTTTAATTTTTTAGGCAAAAAATTTTGTAAGCACTTGAATTAAATTGTAAGCAACGACTAGAAATTGTCGGATGCAAGTTCGGGTATTAAAAATTAGACACGCTTACAAAATATTTCTACTTACATAGCTTTACAGCGATAAAACTAAAAATATTTTCCAAAAATCTTAAAAACCATTTACATGGGCTCTAAAGATCTGCTTTCCGTTTTAAAGCTTTTGCCAAAAATGTGTAAGCAGTTTAATAAAAATGTAAGCAGTGGCTATAAACTCCTCAACGCAGGCAAAATTACTGAAATTAACATGTGCTTACAAAATATTGTGCAAGCAAAATATTTTTCAAGCTTCTTTGATTTCATACATTGTAATTGCTGATGTCTTCTAATGGACTATTTCGAAGTGAATAGAAAAGTAACTAGCAAAAAATTTTTCATACAGCAGAAGCCTGAAAAGCCAAGCGACAAAGTTCATTAAAGCAAAATCTTTTAGAAAAAGGCTAGAAGCCATTAGGTCATGAAATGCAGAAGGTTTACAAAATTATAATTGAACTGATATTTCATTACTTATCATTAGCAAACGTTGCTGGCAAGCAAGAAAAATCCAAGCAAGCACGTAATTGATGAAAGCATAAAGCAGGCAAAGTAAGCGCTTAGGGAGCTAGTAAATTTCAAAGCAAAATGGAAATTGCGAAGAGAAATACATTGCTAAAGTTACCGCCGCCACTGCTGCTGCTGCTGCTAACATGCTGAGGTCATTTAGCTACATTTCAGCAACAGATGTCATAAAAGTCATGACCCAAATACAGGCTTAAACCAAGCAAAATAAAAAAATATTTTAGTTTTTGTTGTTGAAAAATGACTGCAGTATGCTAAACTGAAAATGGAAGTAAAATGTGAGCACAATGAAAATGGATGAATCGTGCTCACGCAAAATACATACTTGAGGAAATAAGCAAATTCAGAGTACAAAGCAGTTGAATTTAGTTAAATTTTCAATGTTGGAAAAATAAGCGGAATTGCGTTGGCAATAAAATTGTCTTGTTTTATTTTTTTTTATGCAGAAAGTAGCGCTTTCAGGATAACGAAGCAGCTAGTTTATGGGAATTTCGTGCTAAATGCGCTTTTGTCCTCAACAAGCAAGCAAAGATGAGACGATAAGTAGCGGAAATCTTGTATGTAGATACATATATAGTGCATATGTATGTGCATGTGTTTGTAAAAATATGCGAAAGGCATGCCACTGTATAAGAATGTAAGTAAAATAAGTAGGTTGCAAGCACTTGACATTGCGTACGCATGCTGCGTCGAGTATATGTATATCATTGAAATATTTGTCAAAGTTGTCAGTTTAGGTGCATGCATTTGCTAAGCAAGATCGAAAAATAAGCAAGAGTTGAGTGTAAATATCGATTGCAAAATACTATGAGCTTTGTTGACTGCAATAATGACACACTTTCAAGATTAGTAAAAATTAAAAAAAAAAATTAAAAATTTCTAATTGTTGTTAAATACCCCAGGAACTGCAAAAATTTTGTAAGCCGTTAGCGCATTGAATGCATCACACTGCACTGTACCACTTAACGCAAACGCTTACAAAATAAACGCACATTCAAAGTTGTAAGCATGGCGTAAATTTTGTAAGCACCAAGCGTCACCTGTAGCTTAACATTTAATTGACTAAAAAGCATGAGTGCTTACAAAATGCACACACAACTTTAGACATAAATCGCTGTACAAGTTTAACGAGTATGTAGACACTTTTTACGCCGCGCACAAGTTTAAGGACATTTTAATTGCAACATGCATGCACAAGTTTAAGTAGCTCTAAACGAGCATAGAAAAGTGCACTTAAAGCGTGGTGGCGCCACTCATGTGCGCATTTTTGTGCAAGCTACAGCAGCACAATAAAACATATTGCAATATACATATGTACGGCGCAAGGATTGAAAATATGCATTTTTAGCTAATGCTTAAATAAAAGGAAAAGCATACATTTAGCTTAAAAAAACTTAAAGCGCAATGTGGCAGCTTTCGCCTTTTTGGCGACGCATTTAAGCGATTATTTTTGCTGCACTTTTGTTGGCAAAAAAAGTGTCGCATTCATTATGGAAAGTGTTAAAGCGAAAAAGTCAAAGAATAGCAGCAATTAACAGCGGTAGCGAACAGTGAAAAAAAAACTTCAAATTGCGAAATGGCAATGCGAATTTCACTGCGCAAGAGGAAGCTGTGCCACAGATTTTGGTGGATGAGATTTAAATTTTTTATTTTTTATTTTATTTAAGCTTTATTAAGCTACATACATACATACGATAATATGGCTTGAATTTAAAATTTCACAATAGCGCAATAAAAATCCCGTTAATGAAGTGTACACGCACAATTTGTGTTAGCAGTCAGCCAGTCAGTCAATAGACGTACCCAACTAGTTTGACTAGCCGGTAAACTGTCAATCACAAACGCAATATAGGCCGCACTATGGCGGCTTTAGAGTTCAGCACAACGACACACACATCAAAAAGTACATACACCTCTTGCAAACAGCTTATTGCCATAAACTTGAATTGCAAGCAAATGAAGTCAACTTGATTAGGTATGGCTGAAATGGATTGCGAACTGGTAAGCAAGGTTCGTTATCGAGAC